ATACGTGGCTGAAGCTCCCATCATTAGAACACGGCTTCAAATCAGGACGGAGCTAGAACTTTGACTTTACTCCTTGATAGTTTTTTCAAAGGCCATCATTAAGCCGCCAACTCTTACTTTCATGGCTAAGGACAATTATTATAAGTGAAAATCAATGAAATTTTGAAATTAACACTCTGAAGAATATACGCTTTCACATCTTTCTTGGCTTTCTTATCAGTTATCCAAATTTGTAGTCGGTTAGCGCAACAAAGAGCGGGCTCACGAGAAAGTAGTTTACAGTGGTCAGCAAGCAATAAAGACAGAATAGAAGGCTCATGATTCTACCTCAATCGTTCCATCTCCTGCTTCAGTGATGGCCACTGATAGATGCCAGGCTTCCCCTTCTTTCAGAACCAGTCATGCTGTGTTTCCCAAAAACCGGCTGGAATGAACTTCATCGCCCAGTCCATTATGAGTGGCATGTGCAATGGTTTCAGGTTATCAATAATTGTACTCTTGGCCTGGTCCTGGTGAACTGAACAGAGAACGTGTGACTTCCAGTCCTCTATGCTTGACGCAGCACAGCTTGAATCATGCTGTAACTCCTCCTGTTTATCAGGACTGAAAATGGATTATTTTACAGCCAAACGGTCTTCTCCTGTTTAGGCATATTAAGCAACCAAAATTGAGTCGTAAGCGAATCAATTTATTTTCAGTAGAACAAAGTCTTTTTGATAAAGTTGTCTGTATCAAGATGCGATGTCAGGCATGCAAGTTTCAAGCAAATGTATTATTCCGTTATTAGACGAACAAAAGCCATGTTTTTTTTATTATAAAATCATTCTCACATTCAAATACAGACAAAGTAAGCATTTTGATAGTGTTCTATGACTCCTGGTTTGACTTAGCGAAGAGTGAGTCCCGTCACATAGTTCACTTATACAATGATAGAGGTCATTTTTAAGCAGCCGATTCTTATTTTTATGGCTTAGGTAAAACAAAAGCTTTCAAAATGGTTCTATTTCATTAAAGTTTATGGTGTGTAACCATTTTGCAGCATTTTCTGTCTATTGCTATGCCATTACTACCAAATTGACACTTCATAATGAAAAAAAAATGTACGCGGGTACCCTGTGGTGGGCAAAGTATTTGTTTTTATTTATGCAATTAAATATAATTGGTTCTATTTCATTGAAGTGTATGGTGTGTAACCATTTTGTGGCATTTTCTGTCTGTTGCTGTGCCATAATTACAGAATCAACGCGTTACAATGAAAAAAAACTGAAGCGGGTAACCTGCGGTAGGAGACAAGTTTGCAGTCCTCCTGTAAAATAATTCAGTGAGTGCCCAAAGATTTTTTTGCAGATAATGTTATTATGAAGTCCCACCTTTTAGACGGTATGCTCAGCTTTTTGAAGCATGTATAGGAGCCAAAACACACTAGATAGTATTTTGAATTATAGTCATATATTTATGATCTTATGAAGATCCCAGAGTATTTCAGATTGTTCGTACAGATTGAGTCAGGAAAATGTTTGTTTACTCCGATGTAGTTTGCTTCTTTGGTTTTGCTGTTTCTTTAAGACACTGACAGATTTCTTTACGTGCTTACATCAGCTTTTGTTTTTTCCGTTGGAGTACGCCGGAAGGAAAAGGCAGAGACGGAGGCGATACAGTTTTGTACCGTAGCTGTAAGCGTATGTTCGGCAGTGTCAGCTAACCTTGGTAGTTGTTCAGCTGTTTACTTGGATCACTCCTGTAAAAGATCGCCCTGTGGAATCCAAATAAATTTTAATTTGACGTCTTTTTACATCGGAGTACTGTGGAGTTCTTCACGGCCAGCAACTTAGCCGCTTCAGCACGAGTGACGCAACAACGTCTCGCCAGCCATCAGTCCTCATAGCATGCTCTGGCACCGGAGATATTTTGACCTAAGCTTTGGGTATTTTAACAGTTTTCAGTGTTGGGTGAGAGAGGCGGTCTTGGCTGACATGATTTGTGTGATGGAACTTGTCGTAGGAGAACGAAACATTGACAATAAATTGTTCTTGGGTAGGATATCATTCACTGAAAATATGAAAAGATTTGGTTGAATTCTTCTAGCAGTAGAGCTTTATGCTTCTGACCATTTTTTAGGCGATTTTTGGTCATTTTTGCAAAAAAAGAAAACAAGGAGGGGTGGTGAAATCCCCCCAGTTTGACCAAATTTCCTTAAACTTAGACTGAAGTAGTTTTGGGTGGACCCCTTCAAACTGGCTAAGTTTCATTGAAATCGGTGAGATGGCTTGTGCCACCCCCGCCTGGTCCTATCGTGGATGCACTCTTTAAAATGGCCTCTAAGTTTTAGTCATCTTTAATTGCCTACTAATTACTGTAACTGCTACCATAGGTGGACAAAATTCTGTTTTAGGTCCTCAATTCTTGACATAAAGCTTAAGCATCAAGCTATATTAGATAATAGTACAAGAAACATGCAGGGCACTTCTCTAAATCCTCTTAACACAGTGACTTTTATTAAGTGCGTTAATAGACATGCCTTTATCCCTTTATTGTAAGAGTGGCTTTTTATGTCCAGTTTTACGAATGACAAAGATATTTCCTGCATGTATGTTCTTTTTTATCATTCAAGAATTTCGTTTGTTTTCAAGGGTTCTGACCAAATATAATTTGTGATTTCTAAATTATGGTTGAAATATACAAACATGTAACTCACACTGTGTGATGCTACCATAATTTCAACATCGGCATATTACCTAATGGCCTCCCATGAATGGGAAACAAACAAGACTGAAATATTCATTCTTCATTGACCATACCTCAACTCAATTCAATTCACTTTTATTTGTATACCACAGTTTACTACATATATCATCTCACAGCGCTTAACACAGTAAGGTGAAGACCTTACGAATGTAAACAGAGAACCCTACAATCCAAAGTTGCCTATGGACTCCCTCTGAGCAAGCTCTCCGCAGCGGTGGGAAGGAACCAAAACAAAAACCCCAATGGGAGGGAGGTAGTCGGGGGACATAAGTTCATGTGGGTAAGATTACGACCAGACGCTGGTATCAATCCACAATGCCACATCTCTGTGAATCACAATACAAAAGTTTAACAGAAGTCTCTGTTTTTACCCATCCAGTACCTGAAGTTTATCCAGTTTGTTGAACGGTGAATGCACATTGGACAGAAATGTGTGCTTGTGCGTATCGAGCACACTGGTGCTGTGCTGCCCTCACACTGCATCAGCTTCGCACTGCTAGACAGCCAGTTAACATGTTCAAGCAATCTTCAATAAACACACAAGGCTTGCTTTTTTGGCATTTACTGGTCTTTGGTACCTTTAGAATGTCTTGTAAAACTGAAAATACAGAGAAAATAAAATAAATACACAATCACACTACATAAACATGACACAAAACATAAAGCTGCCATGTAGCATGAATACAAACAGCATTTAACCACAGCTAATAAACTTTAGCTACACAAGTTAGCTTCTAACGCCTCTTATCACAAGCTGATTGACGGAAACAGAAAACGTCTGCTCTAAAACACATATTTTGTGTATTTCATGCTTGTGCACTCTTTTAACTTACAGGCAAATATTTCCCAAGGCAAAAGCATGTGTGAACAATTCAGCGATGTCATGAAGCTCTGTTGTGCTACTGATAGCTGTAAGTAAGTCGAACTCTCCTCACAGAGACGACGGAGGATCAAGGATAGCTTACAATGTAGTGGTAGGATGGACTCACTCTGCCGCAAATTCAAAAACCAAACACAGCACACAGAGCGCTCACTCTTGACAGATTTTCAGAGAACTACAAAAACAACTTTTTAAACTTTTTAATCCTACTTTTAAACTGACTTATTTAACTTGTGTTTTTAATCAGTTTACACACATCAACTTCAAAGACAGCCCAGGTGCATTTACCTCTCCTCTCGTGTTTTACTGCATGGGCAAGGTATGAATGTCTATTAATTCCACTGTTGTGACAAGAAACATGAAATAAATCCACTGGAGTTGTTTCTCTGATGTTTAGCAGCTCTTCCCTAGTAAGAGCTCCAGATAATGTAACAAAACACTGAGTTAACAATCAAAACAAGACAAAACAGAGCACATAGACAAACTGATGCAGCCATCCATGGTGCCATTTTACTGTTTGTCAGACCTAAAGAACCAATATAATCAGCTTGCCAGATAGGGCTTTTTACATTATTGTAGTTCTTCTTGAATTGTTTGAGGTTGTAACATGTTTTAAGTTACATCAACAATGCGACTTGTAAAGCATTGAGTAATCTTACAGTGTTTCAGCAGAGTACGTTGGCAAGTCGCTGGTGTGCTCGTGCTCCTGAAAGTGCAGAAGTGTGGATGGACAGAGTGATAGAGATTTCATCTGCACATTTTGGACGGAGCAACAGTGCAGTTAGAGCTAAGCATTTCAAGGCATGAAGAGATTATTTTTAATGGGAAAAAAAAAATCTTTATTACTTTATTACAGATAGAGGAGTTTTGAGGGGTTTTGTCAATGACCGAAGAGAGACTTTTTTGCTGCTCTCTCCGGTATGTCTGCAAGTTTCAATCATGTTTCAATTCTGACTACACCCAACACCAGTGATAAGTGTTTTCATAGGAGTGCTTTTTAAATAGAGTAATTACGAAGAGTGTACTCACTTGGTCCTGAAATCGATCTTTACAAATGTTTCGCCACATACAAAGCTAACAAAAAGCAGATTATTAGGGGTGGTTGGGTACTCTTTAACCTTGTTCTTTCTCTTTCATTTGATTTGACAACAGACATTTCATTGCTTTTGTTCAACCCTTTTTTTGCACAAATGATCTAGACCACATTTCACTGGGGAAACAGATTGATTGAAGGGGGATCTGACATGTTTTTAGAGTTATAAACAGCAACTGATATGCATGTGGTATATGCGTCAGAAGTGACTTTGCCTGGTGCTTTTATTTGCTTCATGCTGTCCTGTAAAACCACCACATCTGTCTCCTTGTTCTCCTCTAGGATATGGTAACATTGCCCCAAGCACTGAAGGAGGAAAGATTTTCTGCATTCTGTATGCAATATTTGGTATCCCACTGTTTGGATTCCTACTGGCAGGTGTCGGGGATCAGCTAGGTACCATATTTGTCAAAAGCATTGCCAAGGTGGAGAAAATGTTTCGGGTGAGTCACAGTGTAAATCTATTCTCTATGACTCAGCTTTCTGGAAATTGTATTGCTTTAATTGCATTTTAATGTGATCCCTTGATTTAAAGTAAAGACAGTAACAGACAACAGGACAAGACATCCAGCGTTTAACCAAAATAGTAACACTTAGCACAGTTTTTTTTACAATGTCCTACAGCTGATGACAGTTTTGTTTTGCTTGAACTGACACTTTCTTAAAGCTTTGTACCGAGAACGGTAGACATCTTGACGCTTGTTTCAGGTTTCATTCAAGGTTCAGTTATTGAAAGCATATACTTCTGTAGTACTGCACTCAGAGAATACAGAGAATTCAGAGAAGCTATTAGCCCTTTCTGTTTAATAGGCGAAACACAGATTGTGTATGTTTGTTCGGTGGTTTTAAACTGGCTCCACTTCACTGTGATAGAGACACTACCACACACAGAGTAGGTGCCTGGTAGTTAAAATACACACAGTATTCATCAACATCAACAATTATTGTTTGCGCTACCAAAAAAAAGAGAGAAGAAAATCAAGATGTTTGAGATGAAGAACAACTCAACCAACATTAAGAAAACTTTTTATTCAGCTTTCGATTACACTCCCTAAACTTCTGTTGTTACACTCCAGCATAATGACGAAACAATATTGTGAGACTTCCATCAAATGCCTGCTTTGCTCTTGCCAAATGCTAGATCCTCTTTTCCACACAGGAATGCAAAATATTTGCTCCTGTTCAGTGGCCATTCAGATTAGTGGCTGGAGTGTGGTGAGTTGGTTTATGCGACCCCCTGCGAAGTCTTTTCAGTGTCTGGGATATAGCTCAAAATTCTCAAAATTCAGAGAGCCTGTTTTGGGAAACGATAGAAATTAAGCCTGTCAGTTCACTTCAGATCACACTTACGAGTTCATACTGCATCTGAAATAAAAGTCATTGTGCAGCCAACAAAGCTTTATGGATTCAGTCTGAATCATATCTCTATCAGACAGCTAAAGAAATGTGCTGAAATGCATACCCAAACAATGCCATATAAACACATCATTAATTTAATATTGGTTCACTTGTAAATGACTAGCACAGTGACTAAAAAGAAAATAAAGTAAATGAGTAAATGTCCACCATCAAGAAAGCACATCCAGGCCAAACAGAGGACTCTCATCATAATCAGTGGTCATGTGGATGAGATTAAAAAAACTAATGAATTAATTTTTTTAAAAAACTCCTATGACTGATTCATCAAAGTTCTCTCTCAAACTCTGTTGGAGTCTGTCAAGTAGAGTCAAGGCTTGAGATCTCAGAAACAGCCACTAACAAAGAACACTGGGCCGGTGTAAGCAATATAAAGGACTCTATGATAAGAAATGCTGTAATCTGGTGATTGTTTAAATATGAAATGGTTATTTTAACATTGCAATGAATTAAAGGTGATTTCGTGTAACCATTGAATTAAAGCTGCAAAGTTGAAGATGAGAGAAGGGGTGAGAAGCGGGGTAGACGTCTGGATTAAGGCAGCAAGAAGCTAGGTGAGTTTCCTCGACACCAGCTTAAGTAGTTCTACAGAATCCTAGTAGGTCAAGGGCCTGTAGGCAGATAGAACCTAACCCTAGAAACAGAGAGCTGGACCAGTAGCCCTGTACGGGGTTATATCGGTGTGAATCAATAGGTGGCGTCCCTGGATGGGCACGCAAGAAGTGGAGAACCACAGAAGCAAGGAAAGGCTTATTTTCCTGTTGAGACAGCCGAATTGAGAAATTCTGTGCTGCGGATATATAGGTGGCATCCCTGGCTTGTTGTGCAAGAAGTGAAGAACCATAGAAGTGAGGCCAGAAGAGGCCTCTTTTTCCTATTGTAGCGGCCGAAGTATGAAACTGTGCACAGAGGATCCTGCCGAGGAGTTCTCACATAGAGAAGTGGTTGACTGAGCGAGTGACTCAGGATTGCTGAAGCAGTGACTGACCGAAGACCACTCGGGTTGCTGAACCTGCAGGAGGTGCACGGCACACCACAGGAAAAAGAAGTGGGTGTTTAGGGGGACCTAGTCAAGTCCGAGAGTGACTACTTAGTAGCCTAACCAAGTCTGCCCTCATCCCTGTTCAAGGCGCTACGAGAGGTTTTGACGGAGCAGACGACTCGAGACAACAGAAGACAAAGATATGGAAGAAGAAACCTATCAGAAAATTGTCTTTGTCCGGATCAAGAAGTGGGAACAGACACCCAAAGGAAGGGTAGTTCCAGAGAAGTGCATGAAGGGGGTGGTGCAGGCCGTAGATGAAGCTCTTGGCCATGTTGGTACACTTCCTACATGCAAGGAGCTGGAGAAGCAGCAGCTTTGGATTTTTGAGCACCAAATACGCCAAGTCCTGAGAGATTGCGAGGCATGTGGTCAATATAATGCTGGTCGCAGAGGACAGAGGGTAGGAGGGCTACAGTAACGCAGTGTTACTAAAGAAAGGAGGAATCCAAGGAGTGGAGCAGCTGAACCCAGTTCCAGACTAGAAGAAACTAGGAACCAAGAACCATGGCCACGAGCACACAAGGTCTACCACCCTTCGTTAGAGTGGCCACTGTTAAAGGAGTGGTTGCCATATGGAGAAGTACCTCGGGGCTCCGAGCAAGTTGAGCCTTTAAGAAATGGGATTACGCCACGAATTGACTCCTTTCAGGCGACTAGGAGGAGTTGATGGTGGTAGATTGATTGGAGATGGAGCCGGAGGAGCGGCCGGAGGAGCGGCCGGAGGAGCGGCCGGAGGAGCGGCCGGAGGAGCGGCCGGAGGAGCGACCGGAGGAGCGACCGGAGGGTACGCCCCACCTGATCTCCCTCGAGCCAGATGACAAGTTGTTGGATCTTGCTGAAGTCTCTGCACTTGAAGAAGACAAAGATCTGTTTCCCCAGGCATTTCTGTGTTCTGCATGAAGAAATATTCTCTTCCTTCCCCAAATGGAAGCAAAAGAACTGCAGATCTGATCAGAGTCGGGACTTCACATCTCCCCCTGAGACAGGAGGGTTTTGTCCGGTGATCAGGACTCTGTACTTGGTTGCTGCATCACTGGAAGAGGACTCCTCCAGGCTCAGGTCTGAGCAGGGCTGAGTTAACCAGCTATGGCCGGGCTTTTCGGCTCTCCCTCTTACTTATTAGGCTACTATTTTAGAAAAGCTCAGTTCTATAATTTTATCTCAAATCAATCGGTTTAATCATATTTTGGAATATTTTGAATAAATCATCAAGAGCTGTAGCTGTGTCCCTGCTAAAGTTTTGTAATAAATATCTGATCATGCATCTAAAGTTTATTTGGTTTGAAATTTCATTAAGTCATTCACAGTAACTGATGGTATTCAAAAGTTAGTCAATTGTATGCATAAGATCTTTATAGTGATTCTTCATGGTTATTCTAAGTCATGAGTAAAATAGAATTTTTAAACAGATCCCTGGGGTTAGTTGTGCCAAACCTCTAAATCTAACCTAGCAACTTTCCAAGTGCTCAATCCATTAAGAGGAAAGCTGCCACTAACAGGCGTGTCTAGTAGAGTGATCTGACTACTGAGGCTCTACTATTAGAGGAAGCGGGGTAGACGTCTGGATTAAGGCAGCAAGAAGCTAGGCGGGCTTCCTCAACACCAGCTTAAGTAGTTCTACAGAATCCTCGTAGGTCAAGGGCCTGTAGGCAGATAGAACCTAACCCTAGAAACGGAGAACTGGACCAGTAGTGCAGGGTTATATCAGCACAGATCAGTAAATCTCTAAAGACAATCAGAACTCTCCTAACAGTAAGGCAGGCATTGTGCTTTCACTGCTTGTGTGTGTGTGTGTGTGTGTGTGTGTGTGTGTGTGTGTGTGTGTGTGTGTGTCTGTGTCTGTGTGTCTGTGTCTGTGTGTCTGTGTGTGTGNTGTGTCTGTGTGTCTGTGTCTGTGTCTGTGTGTCTGTGTGTCTGTGTGTGTGGCTTTCTCTCACAGAATAAACACAACCAGATCAGTCAGACTAAAATCCGTGTTGCGTCCACCCTCCTCTTCATTCTGGCTGGATGCATCTTGTTCGTCACCATTCCAGCAGTGATCTTCAAACACATTGAGGGCTGGACAGCTCTGGAGTCAACATATTTTGTCGTCATTACTCTGACAACAGTTGGAATAGGTGATTATGTGGCAGGTGAGTGCTTATCATTTGTTGTCAAATCTTCATAAATGACACTAATGCTTCTTTTGAACAGTGAGAAATGTAATATCAAGAGCACAATCATATCTAAAGCCCTAGTTAAATCCAAACAGGGATGGGTATCAAAACCTTGTAATAACAGGCTCTGGGATCAAAGCACTAAAGGCTGAAGGATCGATTATCTATACACCGCTTAATCTTCACTTTGGGGGGCTGGAGCCTATCTCAGCCGACTTAGGGCGAAGGCAGGCGACACCCTGGACAGGTTGCCAGTCTATCACAGGGCTACACTTAGAGACAGACAACCAAGCACACTCACATTCACACCGATGGACAATTTAGAATCACCAATTTACCACAACATGTTTTTGGACTGTGGGAGGAAGCCGGAGAACCTTGAGAGAACCCATGCTGCACAGGGAGAACATGCAAACTCCACACAGAAAGATCCCGGCACCCCCACCGGGACGTGAACCGGCGAACTTCTTGCTGTGAGGCAACAGTGCTACCAACTGCGCATATTTTATTGCACCAAATCTATTTCTAATTTATCTCTTACCCTTTTTAGTCATGGGATACATAACATTGCTGACTTTATCAATTTGTTAAAGTGATGGTGTTCTGGCATGCAGACATTTGTTACTTTTACATTAATGTGGGTTTATGATGCATTTTCTCTATTCTTAATCCAGAAGAGAGATTTTTCTCTCTGAGCAACTGTGTGAAAGACAGGGGCAGCTCTCTCAAACAAAGCAGCACCATGCAACGCACACACACAACAATAGCTCTGCTCCTAATGGCTGAGAGAATCAACATTCGAAAATGTGGTTACATTTTATTAGAGTGACCTTATAGCCACAAGTCCAAATTTTTGCATGCAAGAGTGGAAACATGGACAGTCTGTTGAAACATAGAGCAAAAGTTCACATACAAATGCACAGTTTTCAACTGAATAGTTCGTAGTTCATTTCACAACCCAAAGTATGTAATGCATGCTAGCAAGCTCTAACTCACACACAGTTAAGTAAATTAAATGAACATGGGTGAACTGTTTTGTTTGTGTTGTTTTAGTTATGCATGCATTCATAAATTCAATCTGATAGTCAGAGCATCATCTGATGTGTCATTCAGAAATTCAGTTCCACCTTCATAGTGCTCAGACCTGGGGCAAATTTAGTGACTTGGGGGCTACAGGGCACCACTGTCCAGCTTTATTTTCACCCTTTGTCTAACTGGATGTTTTAATTAATAGCAGAAGTGCTCAAAACTTTTTTTCTAAAGTAGAACAATTAATACAAAACAGTGAAAATATATTCAAAGGAAAAGTCCTTCAGTCATTCTTTTTACTTTAAAAAATATGTGTCAAAGAGAGGAAATTAAAGAAAGTAAAAAAGTAATGTTCTATTTTTAATTCATAAAATTTCTTTGCTTGACAAAACATAAAGAAGAATCGATAAGAGAACCACTAGTAGTACCAATAAAATTGTAGCCGTCTCGCTACCTCCGTGGGTTTCCCCCAGCACAGACACACGAATCGCTGCCGGTCCACAGTCTTTATTGGCCGTACGGCGCAAACCCGGCACAAAACAATAGAAATAACACAAAGCAGCCGCGTGTCTGCAGCGGCCCGGCTCCTGCAGCACGCGCTCTCCCGTCGGCGTCTTCTGTCTCACCAACCAGCCAGAGATCCTCCTCCTTGGCCTCCTTTCCCTCCTCTGCCGCCAGCACCCTACTATGTGCACAAGCATATCCACAATTAGCCAGACCAGCAGCAGCTGGACCCATCAACTCACCTGACACTAATCTCCTGAGCTCTGCCCCACACCTCTCTCCCCTGCCACCAATCACACCCATCTCCACAAAAATCTTACCAATGCCAATCTCTACACCCAGCAGTAAGAAAACTTTCGACCAATACATACATTATTGACTGTGCTACTCTTTCTGGAGCAGTTGATCAGTTCAGTTATGGATTTTGGATTGTACCTGCCATTTGCTCTATGTCAACTGGGATAGTTTCCTATCTATCCATAACCCTCTACAGGATAAGCCAGTGTAGGAAATGTGAAAATGTGTGATGTGAAATGTGTGGGATTTTGCATTCCGTTATGAAATGTAAATTTGCGCAAGTTAACAGTTTCAAAACTGAAGAGTAACTGTGCCACACCATACAGTTTATCTAATGATTGACTTCCGGTGCCGCGCTGAGTGGCAGCACGGTACAGCAACCCACGTCTTTTATTCTTTTTTGTACTTGTTTTTCGTCAGTTAGTGCAGTAATGGCCACTTTTAATTTTGCTAGTTTTATTCTAGTTTTGCTGCTACTTTTTACAACTGGAAACCACGCGGAGCGGAGTGAAAGCTTTGTTTACACACGGGACCAGCTGATCGCGCTGAGTAAACCGCTGCTACTGCCCGGTGTAAGGCCTGAAATCCCCGAGGAGCTACGAAGGAGACGCTGGGGTTGCAGAGCTGGAGCTAAGCTGAAAGCCAAGCGGAGGAAATTCAAACCTGCTGTACCAACGATCATCATGGGGAATGTGAGATCTTTAGGCAATAAGATGGACGAGCTTGCGGCGCTTGTAAAGACTCAGAGGAAGTTCTGTGAGTGCAGCATCATGTGTTTCACGGAGACATGGCGACACTCGCTTTTCCTGGATTCCAGCGCTGCTGTACCCGGCTTCCAGACAGTACGGGCGGACAGAGACGTTGAGAGGAGCGGTAAGAAAAAAGGAGGGGGGATTGCACTGTTTGTCAACGAGAGATGGTGTAACCCTGGACATGTTACTGAGAAGGAACGTTTCTGTAGCCCAGATATTGAACTGTTAGTCGTGGGAATGCGTCCATACTACATGCCAAGGGAGCTCACTTCCACCATTGTAGTCGCTGTTTACGTACTGGATCCACTCCCCTCACCTTTGATGTGCTCGCTCCCCCTTCTGACTGTGACGGCCAACCAGGTGAGAGGACAGCTGGAGAGACTACACCAAGACAAAGCAGCAGGCCCTGATTGTATCAGCTCTAAGGTACTGAGGACCTGTGCCAGCCAGCTGTCTACTATCCTGTGCCACCTCTTCAACCTGAGCCTGACCCAGGAGAAGGTGCCCACACTGTGGAAGACCTCCTGTCTGGTTCCTGTTCCCAAGAAGTCGAGGCACTCTGATCCCAAAGACTACCGACCAATAGCCCTCACATCTCATGTGATGAAGGTGCTAGAGAGGCTGGTCTTGGCCCATCTCCGTCCGCAGGTGAAATCTTCCCTTGACCCTTTGCAATTTGCTTACCAGCCTCGTCTGGGAGTCGAGGATGCCTGTCATCTACCTGCTGCAGAGGGCTCACTCACACCTGGATGGTGCTGGCTGCACAGTGAGAATCACTTTCTTTGATTTCTCCAGTGCATTCAACACCATCCAGCCACTTTTGCTGAGGGAGAAGCTGCAGACGATGATGGTAGACTCACCCACGGTCTCCTGGGTTACTGACTACCTGACAGGCAGGCTGCAGTTTGTCCGTCTTGGAGCTGCCCTGTCTGATGTGGTGGTTAGTGACGTAGGAGCCCCACAGGGCGCTGTGCTCTCTCCATTCCTGTTCACCCTGTAGACCTCAGACTTTCAGTACAAGTCTGAGTTGGTCCACTTGCAGAAGTTCTCCGACGACTCTGCAGTGGTTGGGTGTATACGTGGTGGACGGGATGAGGAGTACAGAGCTCTGGTGAGTGACTTTGTGGAGTGGTCTGGGAGGAACCATCTGCTCCTGAATGTGGCCAAGACCAGGGAGATGGTGATCGACTTCAGGAAGAAGAGGACGGCCACACAGCCCCTGAACATCCTGGGAGAGGACATTAAAGCAGTGGAGGACTATAGGTACCTGGGCGTCTACATTGACAGTAGACTGAACTGGAAGATCAACACCGAGGCTGTATACAAGAAGGGGATGAGCACTCTACTTCCTGAGGAAGCTGAGATCTTTCTGTGTGTGCAGCGAGATGTTGAACATTTTTTATCAGTGTGTTGTTGCCAGTGCAGTGTTCTCTGCTGTAGTCTGCTGGGGAGGCAGCATCGGAGCCAGCGACACCAACAGACTGAACAAACTGATCAGGAACGCTGGCTCCGTAATCGGCTGCAAACTGGACACCATGGAAGCGGTGGTGGAGAGGAGGACTCTGAAAAAACTGTTATCTATTCTGGATAACCCCGATCACCCTCTCCACCCCCTTCTGGACAGGCAGCGGAGCTCCTTCTCAAACAGACTGATTCAACTCCGCTGTCACAAGAACCGTTACAGGAAATAATTCCTGCCCAGAGCAATAATCATGTACAACACCTCATCTCTGTGTGGCAGAGAGCATTCTCAGCTCTCTGCTCTGTAAAACCCTCTGTCTTTGCACTGTTTTTTCAATTTGCACATTTTGTACAGTTATTTTATTTATTTTATTTTATTTTATTCACTTATCTTTATTTTAATTTTATTTTTTTAATAGTATTTAACTTTAGCCCTTTTTCGGTTGTGATTGGTGTTTTTTCTTGATGCTGCTGTACCACAGTAATTTCCCAGACTGGGATAAATAAAGTATTTTTCTATTCTTCTATTCTTCTATTCTAACTCAACTCCGATCAATTAGTCATCCATCCATTTGGTTCCACAAATTTTCCTGTCCACAGAGAGTATCTGTTTGGTTTTCCTATATTAGATCTCCCTCTTTCTGTCACTCTCTCACACTCAAAAGACTGGATTAAAAAAATGTTTTGACTAAAATTACATGAACATCTTTTTAAGGTACATTATCTTTTTTAAAAACATTTTGACAACCTATACTGATTTGTTTGTTAAAGCCCCTCTCCAATCAAAAATAAGTTTTGCATATTGCTATTCCGGGCTGCATGGTGGCTTGGGGGTTAGCACCGTCGCCCTGTGATAGGATGTCCCCTGCCTTCAGCCTAAGTTGGCTAGGATAGGCTACCAAACATCTGCTAAAGCTCACTGGACACATCATC